CTTTGTAAACAAAATATAAAAACATTATCTTCTCAATCATATACTTGCAACCATGATACTCAGTAAAATTATAACCACCAAAATAAAATTACTTACATTTTGTCAATTTATAATGAATTTGTATAAAATTCAACAAAGTTTCCCCAAAAATATGAACTTTTCCCCTATAAATAGAGTATAAAAACATTAACGACTTGTTGGTTTGAGTGGAAGGAGCTCAGTTGCCTTTAAGCATGGTTTCAAGTTCAAGTTTTGTAAATGAAAAAACAGCTGCTGGAAGAACTTCCCTCTTTATGGGGTTTAACGCAGCTCAATTCCGAATTAGTCAAGACCCAATGTGGTTGATAGATACTGAGAGGTCAGTACAAAAAAAAAAAAGTATAAAAATATTATATACTCACCCATATATTTGCAACCATTATATTCAATATAATTATAACCACTAAAATAAAATTACTTAAATTTTCTCAATTTACTTGATAATCTTGATAATCTTGAAGGTAATTAAGATATAGCTAAAATTGTCTTTTCAAAACGTTTAGTTGATTCAAATTTTGTTATTTTGCAGACATGGATGAAGCAAATTTGATGATTTCCATAGAACCTCAAGGAGAGGCCTTCAACGTTGGAGAAACTAGGAAATTTTATTACTTTCATATTCCTTTTGATTGTGCTGGCATTCCTTGTTCATTTACTATGCTTTCATCATACTTAATACAAAATACATATATAGATAAGATATCAAGTACAATACCACTGGTTAAACAACAACGAAACCAATCTCATGGCAAAAATATATGACAAATTGATACAAACTATAATGTAAATAATCAAGAACTTATAGTTTTTCAGTTCACACAATGTATATAAACATAAATATAATAATTCCAAAGGTAAAACTTTTCATGGTGAAATCCACTAAAGAAGCAATATACGGTATACTAATTCAAGGGCTGGAGGTTGAATGAGATGGGTTCTGTTTGGGTTTAGGGATGTCTTCTGGAATAGTTGGAAATGTAGGCAACGTGGGGTTGGGCAGTTCAGGCAATTCAGGTCTTAGGATAGATGAAAATTCAGGAAATGGTGGCAACTCCACCTCAGTAAGTGGTGGAAGCTCAGGCAATTCAGGCCTAGGGAGTTCAAGCAACTCAGGAACAAGATGCTTAGGTATCTCTGGCAAGGTGATGTCCAAATGAGGCTAGATGTCCAAAAGATGCCTAGCCTCAACACTAAAGCCATGTCCGTTTGTAGACCATACCACCAACAAAAGTGGCAAGATTAGGGTTGCTCGCACGTAGTGAGAAGCCATTGATGGTGTAGATTAAAAAAGCTTCAATTGTCCCACTTTTCATTTTTAATAAGATATTAAATACTACCTTTATATCTAAAGAGATAAAAATGTGTTAGAATTTTCTCTTTAAAGTATAAGGGTAAAAATGAAAGATAAGCCCCAATTTTTGTAATAAATGAATTTTTTGGTAATTGTAAATGAATAAAGTGATACAACTAAATTCAATCGGAGAGAGTTGTATTTATAAAAGATTTTAAAAAGCTCATTGGCTATTTATTTGAGATTTATTGAAGAATTTAATCATTTTTATAATATGACATAATAAGATAGTAAGATGATTAGAATTTCTACTGCACTATACTTGTTCTTTATTATAAAAAATATAAAAAAAAAAGGTGCATATCAGTATCGACTTTCAAAATAAATTGAAATTTTAAACTTAAACTACATCATTTTATTTAATTAAGATTTAATTCAAAATTTAAAAATCCATCTTTTTAAATATTGATATTTAGATTTAGAAACTAATTATATTAGAATATATAATCGGTTTTCAAATTTAAGTATTAATATTTAATAAAATAGATTTCTGAATTTTAAATTACAATTTCAGTTTTTAAATGTAAATTGATTTTCTAATTTTTTTAAAGTCAAAATTAATACACACTAACCTCAAAATATAATGCTAATTTTTTTTTTTGTACTAACCTCCCAATATTCAGTAACCATATTGAATCTCGATTAATTTGGAATTAAATCACGTCGGATCCCATTTTGGGGAAAACTCTCTCAGCACCTATTTTTCTATTTACAAAACTTGAACTCAAGATCTTACTTAAGAGGAATCGAGTTTCTTGCACTCGAACTAACAGGTCGTTGGTAAATATAATGCTAATAATGCATATAGAAAATTTATTATTGAAAATACTATTGAATTCATATTGAAATATAATTGATGAAGTAGAATTCTATTAAAAGGAAAAATTATTATTGAAAAAATAATTGAGTTTAGATTTTAAAAAGCTTACAAGATATTTATTTGGTATTTAAAGATTTTAAAAGGCCTATTAGGTATTTTTTGGAACATTTATTGAAAGAT